AATTGACCGATATTCATCAAGAATGCGTAGAGACTCTGTAGAGATCCAGGGTGTCACGGTGTGATGTGTCAGACCACAACTAACTAAACCAGCAGAATGCAGAGCATTATTGATAAACAACCAGTGCTGATTGATGTTATCCGGTGGGGTTGTTTCTAGCTTTTCAGCTAGCGCGTTTTGAAGGACAGTTGGACAAACTGGTTTGAACAGTTTATCACAGTCTAACCGCTGTTGTGTCGTTCATTAGAGTTAACAGCGATGGATAGCATCAAAAACCGTTTTCAAGTCGAGGAAGGCAAAAACAATGGGTCCATAAAAGGAGTGCATTTGTTCTAAAATTTGTCGAAGAGTTAAATGTGACCGATACAACCCCGACCCGGATGAAAACCAGCCTGATTTTCATTCGTGCACTGTTTAACTGTTAAACGCGCAAGCCTCATGAGTTCCTATTGCTCCAACGCTGTTGCCCTAATCCGCATCTACGGCAAGAAAACAGCCTCTTTTAAGTTGTCCAAAATGCAGTTCAACTTTGCCGTTCACTGGGCAATGCATCGTTTGGTGGAAGGGTACCAGGGAATTCAGTTCTTTCCGATTTTCTAGCTCACCGCGTTAGAATTCGCTAATATTGTCGTTTTTGGTGAGGACATGTCCAACCTCCGAGTAATCGTTGACCGCATTAGTCGACAGGCCTCCGAGATCGGCCTAGATGTGAGTACATCCAAAAGTAAACCGTTCGCGACTATCCCAGTTTATCCCGAATATGCTTTACAACCAAACGGAGAGTCGATCCTATCAATCGAAAGCTCTAAATACTCTGGATCAACCAGACTGCCCAACGACCGAGCTAAAATTGAGGTACATTTGTACGTCGATGCTGCCAGAAAGGCATTTCAACGGCGTCCGACAGCCTCAGCATGTTCGGGATTGCGTGTCTAGGGTTAGGGTCGATCACTTCCATTGCCCTTCGCGTATTGCTTGCATACAACCAAGCGTCTCTAATGGCATCTGCTGAGGAAGCCTTACTCGTTGCCTTCTCGTGGCGGAGGTGTTTTCCCACCAACGTGGGAAGAAGAGGAGCTTACATTCAGGACTGTAGCCGGGTTGGTGGACCACTGGTAGTTCACCTAGGGGAGTTGGCCCAAAAAAGGATTCCAAACCAACCAAGAGTAGGCGTACGAACCACACAAACACCTTCCCGGTTGTGGCAACTGTCACCGGCTCAATTGGGCATCGAGGTGTATTGAGCACCTTGGACGTTTGACCCCGTCCGAAAGGCGTATGGTCCGACGAGCTGAACACGAGCTCCCAATGGACTGCGGCTTTCAACCCGCCCCGCTACCTTGCGGGTCACGCTTTGGTTAGCCGAAGGCCCCGATTGTGGATTCCCCGAGAAAATTCATCAACTTGGCAGTATTCGGTCCTCATGCAAATCATGGAACGTTTTCCTTTTTCATAAATATTATTGTACCATGATTTGGCTCGAACCTCGGACCATAGGGTCTAAAGCACACCGATCAAGCAACGCTGTCTATGGAGGTAAACCACTTGCTCCAGTGGGCGACCACAGTTACCTAAAACTCTCGGCATTGCTCGTCCGGCTGCCCCACCAGATTCGTGCAATGCTGTGTAGAAAGCGGTGTTCGAACACCGACAATCTATTTTTATCCTGTCTCCGTGGTGGACAAGTCTCTGCACCGTAAAGCAGCACTGGCCGAACTGCTGCTGCATATATTCGACCCTTCACAGACAGCCGGATGTCGCGACGGCACCACACGTATCTCAAGTTAGCAAATGTCAACCGAGCCTTTTGTATGCATGCCGACTCTTCATCTGTTACGCGTCCATCGGGTGAGATATAGCTGCCCAGATAGAAAAATTTCTCTACTTCCTCTACTACTCGCTGTGTTACGTGGATTTGTTTTGTGCAACGGTGAGTGAATTGAACTTCAGAGAGACAGCAGATGTCCAATTTGTAGTTGTGCAATGAACTGATTGTAATGCACTGGCTTCCTGATATTCCAGTAAGCTACGTGAATACTGGATCTGGTGTACAGATGTTTTGGGTAATGATACGCTTTTACTGTTCATAGTCTCGCAGTTCTTTTACATAAGCTGGCTGTCTGTGACCGATCGATTGGGTTATGAATACAAGTCCAACTTCAGACACCAATTTTAATTGATGATTATCAAACGAGTTAAGCCGCGTTTACTGGTGTGGTTTGCTTTTGAATTCCAAGCACTTTCACTTTCGCTGAATAGTTTTTCTGTTGTCCAGTCAAATTCTATACCCTTCATGTGGGGTCGTTGTGTAACTCGTCGCTCTAATTCCCGGGGTTGTGATTATTGGTCGTCATGAGTGAAAAGTTAGTCCTGATGACAATGGTGTCCATTCCTTCTGCTTTCCCTCACATGATCGTGTTATGAAAAGCTACCCAAATCTACGGATGGGTAGCTTCGCTGTCGCTCGGCTTAGTGTCAGACCTAACTTACTGGGTCCTAGGGTGGCTTCTCAGTCCGAGTTTCAAGACTTTCGAGAAACCGGAGTTCTTTAAGGACGCAGTTCGCTGAAGTTTTTTAGCCGAAATATTGACCATTTCACACGCTGTTTAACAACATTGTTATACACAACCTATTCGGATTTGACGCATCAATTGTCTTTTGTGATAAGGCCGTTTACCTTACGTAAATTTCGTTGGGGAAACCAATCGAGTAGTCTGGATTTGAGGTCTTTGGATGGTGATCGTCGTTCTGATATTTAAATGCTTACGATTAGATAAGCTGTTACATGATTTGTCACTTTTGACATCGCTTCGCTTTTGAGATAGCTCACTGTGTTTATAATTTGTATTCTCACTTTATTTCCTGCTTACCATTATTTTTTTCACATCATGATATCCAGGCAAACTACGATATGCGAATAACTCGAACTATAAAAATGATACCATGATTCGCAAAGAGGTAATTTTCCGTGATTGCTTTTTATAAATGTACACAGGCATACGTTAGTTCAGCAGTGATGGAAGAACTAAAAAGAATCATTACGGAAAGTGGTATCATGTCCGAAGACGATGCCGTGTGGCCTGATCCCGACCGGGTGGGTAGACAGGAATTGGAAATTGTTTGTGATGATGAACATATTTCCTTCACAACTTCCAAGATTGGATCATTAATTGATATCACGAATAGCAAGTAAGTTGTAAAAGTGCACTTCAAATTCTGTTCTCCAGAGACCCAGAGGGACTGCGAATGTTTTACTACCTGGTGCAAGATCTCAAATGCCTTGTCTTCTCACTCATTGGATTGCATTTCAAAATCAAACCGATATAGTTGACAGTCCATTTTTGTTTATGGTCTTTTTAATGTTGCAATATATATTTGTAATAAAAGTGGGTCATTTTTCAAAATAAAGAGTACATTTCGGTTGATACAAGACGGGAGAATGCTGACGGTGTATAACGTATCGCGCTTCATATCCGACCGCTCGTCTATGTGCACGTGTTTTGCTTTCGTATAGGGATAGCTAGTGCGAGAAAAGAGGTGATGCAATCACGTGATTTAGATAAAGCGCAGATTGATCGACGGCACATGAATACAATGGAACTACTGAAACAGATTTTCGTCAGTTTTTTTTAGTTCATTCAGGTAATACCGCTTCATACTGCCATGACTAATTCCTCAGTACAATTTAGCAAGCTTTGGAAATTGTTTCTATGTTTTGGTGAACAGAGGGCTGATGATGATGAAGTGACGTCGTTGATTTCAGTCAGCTTGTTTGCTCTTTGAAACCCTGTACTCAGAAACAAATTAATTTATTCGAGCTTCGATGGTTATGGTATGGTCAGAACTCGGTAACAGGCCGCAAAACGCATTCCAGTTAATTAGCAGCTTTTATAGGAAATTCTTGAGAATCGTTGTTCCAAAAATGTACAATAATTGAAAAAAACTTGCAGTTAAGCAGGATGCAAGACAAAAGTAACAAGTCGTGACAGCTTTTGTAGGAATATGGTTCATATGACAGAAAGATTAGAAAGACAGTAACGCAACGACGAACATCAAGTTGAGAAAAGTTACTGTGTGGGACTGATGAAACCTTCTGTACTCTTTGGTTGCAGAAGGAATAGTACAATCAATTTACACATGATAAATAAAAGCAAGTCGAAACGGAACGCTAAGAGACGGAGTCAGTGAGTGGTATGGGTACAAGCATAGATCCAGTGAAGTGAATGATTCATGAAAACCTGGGCAACATGTGGACGCTGTCGTGTGCAATAACTAAGGCGGT